AGTCTGCCTCTCCCTCTGACCCTCCCCCCTCTCATGTGCTCTCTCTCATTCTCTCTCTCTCAAATAAATAAATAAAATCTTTAAAAAAAAAAGAAAAGAGACCATGGAAGCTCAGATATGTGAAGTGACTTGCCCAAGGCCAGAATTTGGAATAAAGCCTATTTGCCCTCAAACCTTTTGCTCTTGCTGCTTTTCTGAAATGCACCTTTAGCACCTCCAAACATTCAGGCCCTGGAATCTAAGACAAGGCCAATGTTGGATTTGTTCTTGCCAGAGCGCCAGACCTACAGGGAAATGCTGGCCAGAGGAAAGAGGCTGAGAGCAGAAGCCTGACACTCAGGTACCTCAGTGGGCTCAATTGCCTTAAGGGGAGGGATGTGATATGGGGGGAGGGCACCTTCCGAGGAGAGGTAGAGCAGGGGTAAGGAGGATAAAAGGAAAAACAGGCATGGAGCAGAGAAAGGACTTTAACCCATCCTGGCCTGAATAAGGAGCATCGGCCATAACAACAGTAATTACAACTAATTTAATGGGCCCTTGCTACATACTGGGCACAGTAGTATTTTATATCCATTTTATATCCATTACCTCACTGTAATTCTTTCGAAAACCCTGCCAAGTACACTTTATTACTCCTATTTGATAGAGGAGGACACTGAGGCCAAGGGCCTTGTCCAAGATTGTCCAGTTACTAAGAAGCAGGGCTAGGATGAGACCCCAGGTTTGTCTGCTTCCTGACTCCCCCGGCTCCCACACCTGGCGGTGGCCCTTCGGGCTGGAGGAGGTCTGGTCTAGCTTCTTGCCCTGAGCCCCTCTGCCTCACTCCAGGCTCCAGCAGTGTCAGCTCAGGGTCCATGACGTGCAGGAACTCATAGCCCAGCTCCAGGAAGGCCCCTGCCTGGACGAAGTAGAGTGAGTATCACGGGAAGTGCTGGGATGGGAGATGGGTGGGGGGCAGGGCAGTGTCTGAAGGGCCTCCACTTTGGGTGCATGGTGTAAGGAAGGGCATGCTGCCTCATTAAGAATTTGGGGAGCTCAGACCATCATGACAGCTACCACTGTTTAGCACTTGCCCTGGACCAGGCTTTTTTGCATACATCCTCTCATTTAATCTTCCCATCTCTGTGATATAAGTATTATTACTATGCACACTTCATAGAGGAGGAAATTAAGCAACACAGAGGTTAAGTTTGCTCAAGGTCACACGTCTAGGAAGAGTCCAGGCCAGGGTTCAAGCTCAGACAGTCTGACTCTTACCGGCCTCGTCCTTGTAACCAGTGTTATTGAGAGCTGCAAAGTGGAGACCTCATCACACCTGTCTTCCAAACCACAGCCCTCAGAGTCCCCTCCCCTGTCTTCCTCCCAGAGTAGAGTGAGACTGCCTTCTCTTTTGGGGCTGGAGAAATTCCATTAACGCCAAGCTCCTTTGTGAGTAGGCCTTGGGGATTGGTAGAGGTCCTGTCATGTCCCCAGGAGGGGATCCCTGCTAGGACTTTCCCAGGAAATCAGATGGGTGTGAGGGTGGAGTGATGGAATGCCATAAGGTGTTGTGAGGTGAGTGGCCTCACCCTAGGGAAAGATGAATGGGTGAGGGCCTTGGTGACCAAAGCTTGAGCCTTGACATTGTCCCATGGGGAGAACCAAGACAGGATTAGAAGGTGTTTTTACAAAACACACGCTTCCACCCAGCTGGGTGTCACCAAGCCTGACCACCCTCTACCTGCCCCAGGTGCACTCACCCACAGTATGGCCCCATCACCCATCTGCCTACACAGACCAGACATCTCTCAGCTCCCTTACCCTCCCCCCATAGCCAGCCCATCCCAAGTCCACCTACCACTTACATAGTTCTCAACACCACCCTCTTTTCATCCAGCTCCCCAGTCCAAACCACTCTCACTCCTCACCTGGATGACCCCATCAGCCTCCTCACTGGGTTTCCTGCTTCCACACTGGCCATTTCCACGTGGCAGAGAGTGAACTACATTTCACTGCTGCCTGCCCCCCCCCCTTTACTCCTTCCCATTGCTCATAGTGAATCCTGTGTGATCTAAAATGCTGCCTCCAACCCACCAAGGCCCATCTGACCCTGTCCTGCCACTGAAATCTTCGATCCTGACACACTGTCTCCCTTTCAGCTCCGCCAGTGAGCTATGCCCCAGGGCCTTTGAATGAGCCGTTCCCAATACCAGGAACACCCTCCCCCATTTCTCTCCCACCCCTTACCTACTGAGCTCCTAGTTTTTCAAGCAAGTAGTTCAAACATTAGGGAAACCTTCCCTGATCCCCATGGTAGATCTGATGCCCCTATAACCATGGAGTTTATCATAAGAAGCAATTACGCAGGTTGAAGCATAAAAAAGCAGCTGAGGGTGGGGCCTTGAAATCAGGCTGCCTGGGTTCAAATCCCAAGTCTGCCTTTCAGGAGGTGCTTTAACCGCTCTAAACCTTGGTTTGCTCATCAATGAGATGAGGATAATAATAGTGCCTGCTCCACAGGGTCCTTATGAGGATTAAATGCCCAGTAATGGTAGAAGCAGCTGGGACAGTGCAGGCCACGTCATACACAGCCTTGCAGCATCCATCATTATTAGGGCTCATTTACCAGAGTGCTGCTTTAGCTAAAGTCAAGGAGGGACTGTGTGAGTGCAGAGGCTAGGGGGGACCCCACCCTACCAGCACAAGGCATCGGGCCCCTCTGTCTCAGCCTTTCAGGAAACCAGCTGGACGATGAAGGCTGTCGACTGATGGCAGAGGCCGCATCTCAGCTGCACATCACCAGGAGTCTGGAGTGAGTTGCCAGCGTCACTATTGGGTGATGGGGGGGAGCCCTGGAGAGAGCCCCAGCTGGTCCTTGCCACCACCAGGTCCTGCAGTGGCCTAGTGCTTCTCCACTGACCTGCTCTCCCCCAACACCAGCAAAGTTGGAGCAGTCTGCCCATGACTTGCCTTTGCCTCTGTCTCAGTTCCAGTTACTAAAACCCCTTGGGTGTGTAGAGCGTGTTCCTCGTACATCAGTGGCTTGTGTTCCAGCTCATCCTTGCAACAGCCCTGGGGTGTGGTGGGATGTTGCACTGGGTGTTTCGTTAGGGTTTGGGCTGGGTGGGTTTTGTGGTGTTAGAGTGGGAAGAGGCATGTTAGGGTGGGGGCACAGTGCCCCGAGGTAAAGGGGTGGGTTGTTGGGGTGGTGGGATGGAAAGAAAGGGTAGCAGGCTGCTGGACGTGCTATGGTGTTACACGGTATCGGGTGGGGTGGTGTTTGGGTGGGATGTGTTGAGGTCTTAGCATCAAGCGTGGGTCGGGTAGGGGAATGTTGAGGTTGAGTAACAGTGGTTTGGGGCCTTGCCTTGGGGGTTCAGTCCTGACTCTGTCACTTAGTAGCCTTAACGTCATTTAAGGTCTCTGGGCCTCAGTTTCTCCATTTGTAAAATGGGATTAAAATGGTGGTGATTTGACAGACCAGGAAACAGGCTCAGAGAGGTGAAAACGGTGAGTCAGTTCTTCTCACTCAAGCTGTAGAACCTTACTCTCTGAGTGGGGCAGCGAGGTCATGCAGCTCTTGGCTCATCCACGTGGGCCAGAATCCTTCGAGACACCCTGGGTAAGGACCCAGGACATCCACAGAGTGACAGCCAGCAAGCTACTGTGTGCCAGGAGGAGGGGACTGGAGCTGTCTAGGCCTGGGGACTGGAGCTGCCTGACTGCCACCCCCCTCCCCCACAGCCTCAGCGACAACCGGCTCTCTGTGGACGGGGTGCCTTGTGTGCTGAGGGCGGTGAGCACGTGCCAGACCCTGGCCGAGCTGCACATCAGGTAGGACCTCCCAGTGGACCACCGTTACCCCCTCCTGCCTCCAGCCTGGAGTTCCAGGGCTCTCCCACCATTCTCTCTAAGACCTTAGCATTCTTTCTGGGCCAGGCCTTTGGGACCTGAAGATGCTGCTGGAGCCCCGCCCACACCCTCTTTTCCCAGCTGCTCTCAGCTTATACCTTCTCCAGGAAACTACCCTGGGGCCGATAGGAGCCAGTGGCGCCTGGGTGGTTACCCTCCCAATCCCCCCAACCAGGAGTGGCCCATGACCGAGGCAGAGGCATCACTCTCCAGCCCCCTGGCCTCGGGTAGGACAAACTTTTGGTGCCCTTCATGCTCCAGAGCTCTCTGTGGGATCAGGCCGAAGACCTGCTCTGTTCTGCTTCCCTTGGTCCCTTACCAGCTCCTCCCAAGAGCAGGCCCTCAGTACATCCCATACACAAGTGATCAAGTGAAACTTGGCTCTCTGCCCCATTCAGAGGCTCAGGCTCTGCTTCTAGGGAACCTGACCCGAGACAGGGCCCAACCTTATTTCTGTTAAGTCTCAGGATTCAGTCTGGGGAGCTGAGGGCAGATGCTAATTAATGTCAACACAGTCCCCACCCAGAGGGGCTCTTAACCAAGTAGGGCAGTCCCTGCTTTAGACACCCCTCAAAGGAGGAGAGAGACACTGGTTAACCCAAAAGAGAGATTAGGGGACCTTGATTCACTGTATATAATGATCCAATAAAGGATCCTTAGCTCATTCCAAATGGTGCTCCATTCATTTCTAGGGATTTACACTAAAGAAGTCAGCGTGCTGGTGCAAACACATTTAGATACAGGAATGTTCACCTCAGTATTAGTTATAATAGGGAAAAATGAACATACCTTGAGTATATAGCAGTTGAATATTAGGTAAGTAAACTGAGTTACCTTCAGAGAGAAAAACTCAATGAAAAGTGATGATATAGGTACAATTTTAGTCTAGAGCGATGGCTGTAGTATAATTTTAATTCACCATTTCTATAGTAAAGCTTCCCAAACATACTCAAAGGGGAGGGAGAATGGTGAACACCCCAGTTCCCACCAATAATTATCAACATTTTGTCACCCTTGTTTCACCTATCCCTTGAAAAACTAATTTTTAAACCAGAATCTGCCCTTTAATCCCATTTTTTAAGAAGAAGGAAAAAAGAAAGAACATTAGGTTGCATTTTAAAAACAAAAGACCTGAGGGGCGCCTGGGTGGCTCAGTCGGTTAAGTG